ACCTGATACAGGTTCATCACACATTCATCACCAGCCACAGGACCTCGGTTGCCTTGGGAATGTGAATCTGCAAGTTCCTTTGAGAGATGGAGCATACTAAGTCAGGACGCAGGGATAGCTGAAAAGGTGGACATTTGGACTTTCCCCAGCTCTTCTCTACTTATAAGCCCGAGGGAGACAGGGCAGAGGCTTCCAGACCAACTTCTCAGAAAGTGCGGCTTGACCTTGGGATTCTCCCCTCTCAAAGTTGGACCACCTAGACCTCCCTTCAGCCAAACCAGATGTATCACAGACCCAGCTAAGGTCATTCGTGCATGAATTCATTAACCATTTATTAGATCCCTAACGCATGCCTTGCAATAAAGCACTCCAACAGATTATCACCACCATCTTGCTAAGAAGGGTCTAGTTGAAATAGATACATTGAACATACAAATAATAGGGGAAACATCACTAAGAGGTGTGGTTGGAGCACATCTCTGCCTCAGATAGTGGCTTAGAAATTGACAAGGCCAAAGTGCATCTAGGAAAAGGACCTACATGTACAAAGACATGGAGGCTTGACAGTGGCTAGAGCCCATGGGACATACAGGGTTATAATGGACAGTGAGACTGGAGATTAGGTGGAGCCTAAACTGTGGAGGGCCTGGGTAACAGAATACAGGATTTGAACTTTGTCAAAAAACATTATGGAGCTAAAGAAGGTCCTTGAGTCAGATGTGGTCTGACCTATGTGTTGTAAAAGTCTCTCTTGATGCGAATAGGGAGAACCCAAGAGAAAAGATTAAATACTAAAAGAGCAGGCTTCAGGCTAACGCATGAACTCACAGTCCATCTACTTGAGCTGTTGGCAGGGCTCCGTTTAATACTAAGACCCCTGACAGAATTTTAAAAAATCTTTATCAGTGGTTTCCCTCCCCTGACCCCTCAACTTGCTTTTGGATTAACACTCTGACACCATTTTCTGGGAAATAAATGATGGCCCCAGTGAAGATTAACACTGGGACCCTTATTGGCTGAAAGACAAACCCAGAGCCTGACTCCACCACAGCTGCAGGACCATGCAGGACACCATGAGGAGGCTTACGTGCAGGGCAGGCAGCAAGCCCTCTTGAAGGGGCCTGTTGTCTGAGCCTCGCCTACAGCTAAAGAGATAAGAACCTACAACTGTGGCCACAGGAAATGACAAAGCAATGGCTGATCGGGGAGTCGCAGCACAGGGCTCATTATGGCGCTTGCCAGCGGGCGAGACACCCTTATCAGGGAGAAAATTGCATCAGGCCTCCTGAATTACTAGCGATTGGAAGCAGATTTCTTGGGACGCACTTTGTTAGATACCTAATGAGCGGGATACAGGAGAACAGAGCCTAAAGCCGGCGGGGCGGGGGGACAAATGTCTTTGTTAAACAGAATTTGTCAGTTTCCGCTCCAGGCTCCCTGGGGAGGGTTCAGGGCCAGCTAATTGAATTAAGAGCATGTGCTCTCCAGCTAGAAGGCTCAGGGCGGGGAGAGAGGCAGGCAAGCAGGCTGGACGGAAGGCGGGCATTTTCAGCACCGAGGACAGCAGCTGCAGCTTGGCTACTCTGTAATTGCCAGGGCAGGCTGGAGCTGTTGCATTTTGCATGATCAGGGATCTAGGGGTTGAAGGGGTAGGAGGGAAGCAGAGGACGCTGGGTGGAGGAGGAGACAGATGACCTAAGAAACTGCAATCCTGGGATGCTATTGGCCTGCTCTGTCTCAACAGACCTGGCTCTGCTGGCAACAGTGAGGGCTAGAAGGCTTGAAGAGGGGGCATATTCTCCCCACCATGGTGCTCACATGTGCTGTGGGCAGCTGCAGCAGTGTGTGCTGGGTGCAGAGTCTGAGCGAGGCATGGCCCGTGCATTGCTTTGAGCTTTCAAAGTCAGTCTCCAATTATATTGCTAATGAAGCAGGATGTGCTGCATCCATGCAGCTACAGAGCAAGGGGCCACTTGTCAGCCTCAAGCTGCCCCAGAAGGAGGGGCAGGAGCTGCCAACTAGAAGAGCAAATAAACAGGCTTGTGGGGGTGGGCCAGCAACCTGCTTGCAAGGCCAGACCTGAATAGGGAGGAATTTCATCTCTCAGCCATCATCCTCTCCCTACCCTCCAGCAGCCCTGTGGTCTCGGATAAGCTCCCTTTCAGGAGGAACAAGAATGTGAGGACACAATTCCCTCTCCAAAATATGGACAGCTCAGGAGTCAGGAGAGGCAGTGCTGGCCATAAACAAAGGAAACTATTAGGAAAATCTAGGCACAGTGGTCCTCTGGATACCCTGCACCTCACATGAAAGACCTCTGGCCTCCCCTGCTGGGCCTGTGTCTCTGGAGGTCTAAAGATGTTTCTATATGTCACCCACTCACTCTGCCAGAATGGATCCCGGCAAAGTTGAATGGGACCAAGGGTTGGAAGTGTGCACAGAAGACTTGCAGGTTGGGTGGTACCAGCAGGAAGCAGCTGTGTGGGCAGACAAGGTCCATGCCAGCTGTGAGGGAGAGCAGAGCAGAGTGGAACCCTGGAGTCGGCAGAGACTTCAGGAAGGGCAACTGCGGGTGGAATGGGCAGAAGACATAAAACCCATGGACACTCTGCCTTCCCCTCACAACACCCCCTGCCCACCCAACTGATGGGGTGAAGGCACTGGCCTGGATTAAGGGGTTAGACTCATTTTGAATTTATCTTTGTGATGAAATTAAATGAACAATACATAGTAAACATCAGAATCCACATAAATATATCTGGTGAGTGCTAGGCTCTAATGGGGGCTCAGTACACATCAGCTCTGGGTCGCTGAGTTGACCCAGCTAGTGCTGGGGCCACACAGGGTGGACAGCAAGGAGACAAGCTGTGGGGGAGGGGACTTCCTCAGCAATTGTCCCTTGCTTTCAGTAATGATGGGGGCACCTCTGGAGACCTCTCTTGATTTCATTACTTCTACTTCCTCCCCTAACTGGATTAGATGACAGTCTATGAAATCCCAGGCATTGAAATTGGCTTTCTGCCTGGAAATGAGAAGAAATATCATTACAGGTCCTGAATCAGCATATCAAGTCCCAGGGGCTACCTGGTCAGTGGGGAGGTGGTCTTTGCCATGGTTAGTCATTCTTTCCTTCATTCTTCCATCCATCCAATATGTGTTTCATAGCTTCTCTCTGCAGCCAACTGGTATTCAGCAGTTCTGAGTAGGAGAGAGGGTGCTTTTTTCTATTTAAAACACACAGACAACCAGAAAGTCCCAAATCATCCAACTCAGATGCTACCTTGGTTATATTCATGCGATAGTTTCTGAAGCAGGTTGGGGAGACAGCCGGGGCTGATGCTCATGGTCAAAACAGGCCCGGGAGTCCTCATTAGGACATGCAATAGGTCATGTGCCAAAGTCAGCCTCAGGGCCACCCAATGCCTCCCTCTTCCCATTCCAAGAGTCTTTATATAGCTGCTCTATCTTTGGGATTGTCTATTTTTTAAATCCATTTGTTAGGGAAGGAATTAGAGCCTGGAATGGACTGGATGAATGTGGACCTGTATGACTGTTCCTAACTCTACTGACCCAAATCCAAAAGGTTTCATGCAAATACATTTCTACACACCAAATTTTATAGCACATAAAGGAATCGTGTAAAGGATCTCAGTGGTCATGTAAAGAGTCCTTGTCCCAACTCATCTAGTCCCTATATGTGGACCTTTGTATAGAGTATCCACTTAAAGAGAGAGCCACCCCTCTCATTCTCACTCTAGTGTTCAGGGTCAAGCACTGGGGCTCCTCCCACCCTGAGCACCTGTGTCTTCGTTGCCCATTTCTCTATTTGCTTCTAACACGACATTATATAATAGAACAATGTGTCTGCCATGTAACTGAGGATCCCAACAGCTGATGTGGGGTGGGACTAGGTTACCTTTGAGGCCGCTACAAACCTTAAGATTGCATGATTCTTAGAATAGGCAGAGTTTAGAACTAACCACAGATTTCAAACAAGCTTTACAGTAACTGATCCCCAAAGGGAGCACAGACATGTCCCTAAGCCTGAGGAACTTAAAGTTTCATTAGGAAAACAAAAATAGCAAGCAAGCCTGGAACTAGAGAGCAGGGTAAAAGTAGATAGCCAACTAGAAGAATGGGCTGGAAGAATCTAGAAAAACTAAGTGTGGGCAGAGGCATGAAGGCTTCCTGCAGGGGAGGGGCTGGAGTAGGGTCAGATTTGAAACTGGCAGAGATGAGAGCCATAGTCATGCCACAGGAAGAGGTGGGGAACAGGACATTAGAGAAGAGGCCCATGGGAGAGTCCAGAGAGAAGCGAGACTGTGGTGGTGAGAAATTGGATGATGATAAAGGAGATGAAATGGAAAATGTCTACACAGCAAAGGGGATCAAAAAAAGCATGGGGCTTTTAGAAGCTACTATTACTACACTGAGTAGGGGAGTCATGGGTGACATATTTGTTTATCGACCACCTACAATGAGCCAGGCACTGGGAATAAATAGTGTCCTTGTTTAAATGGAATTTATACCTTAGTGTGGGCACCAGGGGAGGGAGGCAGATAATTAAGAAGAAAGCCAATTTTGTGAAAGTTAATTTTCTGGCAGAGTAAACATTAAGAACAGAGTAAAGTGGGACACTGCATAGAGAGTATATTAATAGGAAGTGGAATTGGAAGAGTAAGGGGGTCTATCTCAAAAGCTTTGCTGAGAATGTTACCTCTGGGCTGAGACTGGAATGATGAGCAGGGAAAGCTGTGGAAAGATCCATGAGAACCTCCAGGGAGAGAGAGCAGCAGGTGCAAAATTCCAGAGGCGGGAAGAGCTTGGCATGTAGGAAGAACAGTGGGACAGTGTGCTGGGACCCAGTGGGCAAGGGGCCCTGGCAGGCCGTCCATGGAGTCAGGCACACAAGGCCTCTGAGCCATGAGGACGGGAGGCTTGGGGGATCATACAAGACATAGAGAAAAAGCCTGTTCAGAGTTCTCTCTGTATCTTCTCAGAGACCAGAAAACTTCTTGACACCGCACAACAGCAAGGTTCTGCCCATCCTGGACCCCAAGATCCTAGATGAGAAACTGGGTACTATCCGTGAGTCCTGGTTCGATGCCAACATGAACTCCCCGATAGACTCCAGCCAGTCCACCTCTCAAGAATTTGAGGAAGAGCCTCAGATGCCAGAGATGTCCCGTGACACAGTAAGTGTCCCTCCCTTGGGCAGGGCAGGATGGCACAGCAGTGAAGGCCATGGGAAGGAGGCTTAAGTGCCACCTCTGGGACTGGTTCATCCCTCAGGCAGCAAGTAGCCCTCACTGTTAGGGACACTCTGTATGTGAACTTCCCCACAAGACAAGCTGATGGAAGGCGTGGATTCTTCTTAGACAGTTTCTTCATCTTCTGAAAGGAACTTTCATGTAGCTTCTTTTGAAACAAACCCCAGCAACACTTGTAAACCAGGGTTCCATTTATTCAAGTCACTATCAGCTGAAGGGCAAAGCCCCTCAGAGATTAGTTGTAACTTATAGAAAAAGAAGTTGGTGCTCAAAGACAAGAGCACACCATTTTTAGGCACAACATCTGTCCTTGATCATGGGATTTGGCATGGGGAGGGGTCACAGCAGAATCTCAGCCCCTTGGTGCAGAGAGCTAAAGAACAGGCCACCCAATGACAGTTCCATCAAAGTCCCCAGTGGAGGTAGTGCCCCAGTGACCATGGGTGACTTCATTTGTGGCTTCCTCCCTTCTTCCACAGCGGATCCCATGGGGAACGCTGCTCCGGAAGACCCAGAGGAAAGGCCCCAGAAAAGGCCATTGGCCCAATAGGAAACCCAGGTCCTCCTCCTCTCAGGACCCGCCCACCTCCATTGACAGCCTCCTCATCTACCCCTGGCACTTCTGCACCTTTCTGGAACTTGTGACATCAGACGAATAGGAAGGGTCGCTGCCTGCTTGGTGTACCCTTCCCACCAGGAGCAGGACTGCTCTCAGGAGCAGTTCTCTCCTTTGTCCCTTGGGGAAAACATTCTCAGGAGCCATTTCCAGCATGGCATAAATTGCATTGAGAATAAAGATTCAGATCTTCTCCTTGGAGATTTGGAGCAGCATGAATAAACCAATTCCTGCTGCCATCCAGAGTCTTACCCTGGGACCCCCATACACACCCTCTTTTGCTTCTAGGCAGCAGTATTGGGGGGAGTAGCAAAAACCAGGGAAGAAAGAAAAAGGTAAAGGAAGGTGTCACCCAAGGAGCAAGGCTAATAGGAAGGAAGGGGAAAGGTGATCACATTTGTCCCTGGCCACCACCCATGCAGAGAGCTCAGGGCAACTCTCCTGCCCTCACCCCACTCTCAGGGAGGCGCCACCTGCCAAGCCTCAGCTCTCAGCCTGTTATATCTTCACCTCCACCCTGGAGGCAGGGCTCAGCCCCTGCATGTTGCTGGGAGCACAAGCATCAAGTGCCACCTGGCTGGACAAACCTCTCATGTCCTATGCCTGGGCACCACACCCTGTGTCACTAAGGAGGGAGCAGTCCTCAGCCCCTTTCCTCAAACTTTATACATGGGAGAGCTCTCTGGCTTAGAGTCCAATGGGCAAAGAGTGCAGTGTCTGAGTCGAACAGCAGGCCTGGGGGCCTGGGGTAGGGAGAGGAGTTAGACACAGGTGAGGCTGTGGATTTGTTTGGGGGAAGTGAGGCATTGGAAGGGCTGGAAGGACTGGGTTGGCATCTCACTGTGCTTATGAAATGTGATGAGAATGACGTGAAGGCAAAGGCAGCAGAGGAGTAAGGGGCCTTTAAATACAGGACGGTCTGCTAGCTGGGCAATTGACACAATTATTTTTAAATATCTGAAATGATGTTATGATAACATGGGTAGTGGGCCCATTAGCCTTGATTTTCTTCAGGATTAGGGACTAGACCTGCAGCCGGAGAAGTCAAGATAAGCCATTAGGAGGAACTGTCTTTGAGCAAGAGTAACCACTGAGTGACAGAAAGGAGGAGGGAAGGGTATGCACAAGGGGCACCAAGACAGGATTCTGGGAAGCTCAGGTGACAATGAGGGACTTGGGCTGCCCATGCTCGCAGACCATTAGAGATGCTGTGAGTTTGGCCTAATGGTGGATAACTCAAGCATGTCCACCAGAGACAGCACCTCTGGCACTGCCATCCACAGACCATATACCCAGAGAGAAGGCCTCCCAATCCCTTCCCTCCCTCTTGCTGGATTCCTGGTGAGGCTGATGGATGGCTGTTGGGCTGCCCACCATCTGGCCTTGAACTAAGTTAGTGCATACTGGCCTTGTTCCTGGGCTCTAGGGTTCTGCCGAGGCCTGGCCTGACACAGATGTTGGCAAATGCTTATTGGGACCCCTGGCTGGACATCAGAGCACTAGAAGGAACCTTAGAGAGTTGCTAGCCCATCCCTTCATTTTACCAAAGGTGGAAACTAGGTGGTCCAGGGGTGGAACGACACCTGCCCAAGGTTTCCTGATCTCACCCCTCCCCCATGCCACCTTGCATCTAGCCAGGGAAACACTGGATGGCCACAGGGGTCCACATGCTCAGCCAACCTGGCACTGTTGGGTCCCTCAGACACTCACAGAGTATTCAGGGCAGTAGCCTCATCCCCTCCCTTGCCCATACCCACTGTTCCAGGCCCCTCCTATGTCTTGGTTCTGTCCTTGACCTTCTCACCCTCCTCTTTTTCTTCCTCTTTCCCTTCCTCCTCCTCTCCTGCCCCTCACCCAGCCCCACCTTAGTTACCAGGCTGGCTCTTCCCATCCCTAGTATATGCCCTAGCTGGTCCTAGACACCCAGCCCCAACTCCAGCTCCTACACACAGGTCAGAGCCCAAAAGAATCAAGGCAGGACCTAGACACACACATTCATGCAGCTGGTAAAACCTGGTCACAAGCCATAGAATGTGGGTGGGTAGCAACAGTGTACAGCTCCATGACAATCACAGGTGGCCCTGCAGAATGGGTCACTGTTCCATAGCAACCAAATAAAATTGCATAGCAATGGATGAACTCATGTGACCAAGAGGCACAGTGACAAGCAATAGAATGTGGCCATGGATCACAGGAGCATAGCTGCCTAGCAATAGACCCCAGTCACAGAATGATGTCATGTGGCACTGCATTGTGGGAAGATGCAATTGTGATCCAGCCATGAGCATAGAACCTGTGTGTAAGCCATAGACGTGATAATAAGGCAACAGAAGATCTTGAAGAGCCCTGGGACACACTCAGGTAGCAATGGCCCAGTTACAAGGCATGCGACTCCTTGTGTCCGGAAATGACCACCAGCAATAGAGCCTGTGAGTGAAGCAGTGGCTCCATGACACAGCAGCAATAATGTAGTGACCAAACAATGACCCGAGTAACCCCCTTGGCTCTCAGCTTAGCTGTCACCCTCCCCACATCACCTGGCAGAATTCCCAGCGCCTTTGTCTAGGTCGAGTTTCAGTGCAGTCCCCAGAGCCCAGGAAACAATTTTGTCTGCGATTCCCTCCAGAGCCTACTTTGGCTTAATAGGAAATTGAACATTTTTCTGGAGAAAGGAGTACGTTGGGAATGGAGGAGGGAGTGGGGGATGCTGTTATGCCCCTTGGGTCACTCCCTGTGCCCTCTGGGCTGCCAGTCCCATACCCACAGCCCACTGGGCTGACTGGGGCTCCCCACCAAATGCAGCCATTATTTGCAATCTCCAGGCTCCTGGGTTTAACACAGAAAGTTCAAGTGCCGATTTACCAATGTGGTGCCAAGCTGGACCTGGGTGAGTGAGCCCACTGAGGTCAAGGGTAGGGCCCAAGGGCAGAGAGCGCTAAGGGAATGCCCTCACCTCCTCTGAGTGGGACAACTGTGGGACACCCATGAGCATGACTAAGTAAGTGAATGTCAAGGGCAAGGTGTTCAGGGCTAAACCCACGCAGCAACTCACTACACCCATCTTGGGAGCCCCTCCCCACCCTACCACAGACACCCCAGCCCACCCTGTGCTGAGCCAAATCAGGTCTCCCAATGCCAGGGCAACAGCAGGTGAGCTGGGGGGTTCTGTCCAGTCTCCAGTCGGCCGGTTCCACTCACAAAGGCTTAGGAAATACCTACGGAGGGTCTGGGCTCCCTGTTCCTCCAGTCAGTCAGAAAACCAGAACTCCCCACCTGCCAGCGCCCAGCCTGTGACCAGCAGGGAAGGGAGGGCATGGAGGAGGGGCAGGCTGAGCCCCTGAGCACTGGAAGTTCCCCAGGAACTTCTGAGACATCTCCCCAGAACATTAGCCTCAGCCACACCGAGGAGAGGCCCAGGAAGTTATCTGATGAGCAGGCCAGGGCCTGACTGGGACAGTGTACCTTCTTAACAGCCACACATACCTAGCACTGCTGGGCCCACTAGTATGCCCTTAGTAAAGAAGAGGCAGAGAGACAGAGGAAAGCAAGGAGGGCTTCCTGGAGGAGGCGGGCATTGCTTTGGATCAGCAGAGGCAGAGGCTCAGTGGCTATTCAAGAAGTATGCACTTAGTGTCGTTTCCAGTCCAGAAACTCAAGCATGGGTTGCTCTCCTGTCTCCTGCCCCCCTCTCTCTCTTCCTCTCTCTCTCTGCCCACCCCCCAACACACACACTACTCCACCTGCTGTTTCTGTGTCTCTCTCCTTTCTCTGGTTGTCCCCATTTCTCTCTGAAATCCCCTCTCCTCCCTCTTTCCCTCCCTCCCACAGTCGTGCTCAGAGGAGATTTGTGGCAGACCAGAGGGCCCTCATACCAGGAGATGAATAATTGACAAGGGTTGTTTAAAGATTCAGTGGAGTTTTTCCAACCTCCCTACACTTGAATAACTCATTTCTTTCATTCTCTCTTTGAAAGCCCCCCTCCCCCACCTCCCTCTTCCCATCCCCCCATCCCCCATCCCCCCATCCCCCCATCCCTGTCCCCCTCTGAGCAAAGGCTTTTGTTTCCTTTCTGGAGTCTGTGGACCCTACAAGGATCCCTCCCTGGCTCCCCTGGACTCTTCAAGTGCACTTCCCCTGCTGCCCCCACCCCATTTAACCTGCCCCTGAAGGTAGTAGGTGGCTTTCAGCTCTCAGAGGACCCCATTTCATGGACACAGAGAAGACTAGAGAGCTGTGGCTTCTCCCACATCCCCCCAGCAGCAGAGGCAGGGCTTGGGCCCCAGGAGGGCAGGCCTGCCACCCAGGGCCC